CTCATTTGAATTACTTAAGTAGATCCTAAATGAAATTGATAAATATCCATGAAAACTGATGGTTCATTAGCAATATATTAATCTCTAACCTAGTGATTTTTAAGTTTAAATGATTACCAAAGTTGCTATAAATTAAGGCTCAGATAACCAGTTTTAACCATTATAATCTTTACTTAAATCAAAAAAAAATGCTTGGTCTTGTTGATGAATCATTACAATTTACCCAAATAGCAACTTAGTTAGGGTTAATCCAATTTGTTACATTTATTGTTTTGTATGACATTAAAATTAAGTGTGAATAATATAGAATTCCGCTCCACTAAATGAGGTTTAATAAGAAGAATTTCAGATTTACACTAATCATTATCCCATCCAAATACTGCTATAGTTTCTTTATCTACTTACCAGTTGTATAACTACTCTTATGAAAATATATTATCATAGTCAAATTTGACAACAGGTTTTAATTCAAAATTTGTTTAAGAATCATATTTTAGAGGTAATACTCTTATGGTGAAATGGCAGACATTATTCTTTGAGTAGTGCTTTTCTAAATCTTATGATATCAAATATTTAATTTAATTCTTATCACAATCAAGAAAGAAAACTTAAATTCTAAGTAACAAATGATATTTTACAATCCAAAAACCTTTCTCTAGTTTCGACATTATTCATAATGTCTATTTAGTCCCTTGATTAAGCACAAATTTAGGATTAATTTAATTCATATTCAAGTCTAAAAATTTCATCTAAAAATCTATGGGATCATGAAATATCAAAACACTATTAAATATTTAAAAATATTACTTTGTGTAAATTTCAAGGAAAAATCTTATGTTCTATGAAATCTATCCTTTTTAAGTAATTACTTGTTATTTGATATTGTACAATTCATAAAATCCATTGTCATAATAAATAAAAGCTAATTTCTGTTTTAAAGGGAGTATACTCTATATCTATTAGGCTTAAGCAGAGCTTTTTACCTTAATTTAAATTAATTTGAGCATCTCTTTATGCTCTAAATCTTCTTGGATCATTTTAATAGAAAGTAATTTGTTATAAAATATAATTCTTTTAAAGTATAATATAATATATCATTTTTAGTTTCTTAATTATTAATTATGTTGGATTCTGATATTAGTCATGTAATTAATAGTATCTTTATAATGATTAGATAAAATTAATTATCCGATGTCTTAAGTCCAAACCCACCAGAAAGTTTTCAATCTCTTTATTTTATTAAAAATTAAATTTATATTCTATTATATTAAATTTATGAATAATAATAATTATTAATATTTTTTAAAGTATTCATCATTAGATCTTAAGAAAAGAAAGCCTTTTATACAAAATATTTGATATAATGATTTGATACTATTTTTGTTATTCATTTTTATCTTTTTCAAAATTGCCATATCTTTAAGAAGTTATCTCATAAAATAAAAATAGAAATTGAAACATATATCTATAATCAAATTATTTAAGTAAGGCTGTAAAATATTTTTCTGAAGAGATTTTTGAATTAAAAGTAAATTCATTTGCTTTCCTTTATAAACAAGGTCTTCTTTTAATCAAGTCCAATTACTACCTTAAAAAAAAACAATTAAAAATCAGAAACTTATATTATTTTTAAAACTTATAAAAGTTTTCTATAAAACTTAGATCATGACATAAAATGTCTGATTAAATTTTTTGATAAAATCATTCAAATTAGAAGATCCAATAAAGCCTCTCAATTACATATTCAAAATCAACCAAATCAATTCAAATTTCCAGTTTTTAATGAAGATAAGTTCTTAATTTTAATAAAATAATCAGTGCGAATGAACAAATTAAATAGGTTCTAAATTTCACTTAAAATATTATTCTTAAAATGAAATTTATAAGTAATTAAGAAAAATTTTCCGAATACATTTGAGAAATTAGATATTTTTGGTGTTCTCATTAATCATTTAATTAAAAAGAAATTTAAAAAATTTAATATATATAAGAGAAAAAATTTGGTGATTAATTATAAAAAATAGAATTATAAATTAAAGAAAAAAGAATCATTTGTAAATCAAACCTTTTAA